AGCCAGCTCTGTGTCCCCGAGTGTCCCTGCCTGTTCCCCAGCCCCCTCTGCCCCCCGAGGTGTCCCCACTGCTGCGGGGACAGCACTGGCTCCACGAGGCTTTTGGGAGCGGGTCCCCACAGGCATGGACACACAGGGACTGCTGGGATAATTTAAAATCCAGGGCACAGACCTGATTAATGCCCTAGTTTGCATCGAATCTCAGTTTGGTTTTTTTTAGCAGCCTTTTGATGAGCTTGTCAATGACAAGTTGCTAATTGAGGAGTGGGAGGCCCACAGTGTCCTGTGAAAACGAGGGAGAAAAAGAGCCAGGATAAAAAAAAAATCTGTTTAAACCTGGCACTGGGCCTGGCTGCAGGGACCAGGGGAATGGAGGGAAGCCAGGCTGGGGTGGCCTCAGAGAGACCACGGGGGTGCTGCTCAGCCAGGGGGTGGGGACACCCCAAATCTCTGCAGGGGCTGGGAGAGACCCGGTGAGCTTCAGCAGGGACACAGCCCATCACCCCAGGGTGCTGCAGCAGGGGGGGGACTCTTGGTCTCTAACAACATCAGGCACCCCCAGCACCGAGTAGAGCTCCAGGCTCCACTTTTTTTATTCCACACCCCCCTCAACATATTCATTGATTTATAAATTCCCTACACGTACTGCTGGGCTAACAAGCACTCTTCAAAGCACAAGCTAAAATGTGAGGTAAAAAAGGATGTGGGAGAGATGAAAACAACACTTTTTAAATATTTTTGAAGTTATTAATGGTACAAAACACATTTTCTTCCTGTGGATTATCTCTTGCACCCCACTGTGGGGACGGTGGGGTCAAAGGGAGCCTGCCTGGCACCCACAAGCCCCTTCCCCACTCCCCTTTTCCCTGCACAAAGCAGCTTTGTCTCCCTCTTCCTGCCCCTCTGCTCCCGCCTGGCTGCTGTCCCTGCCTGGCACCCATCCCATCTCACCCTGCAGCACAGGGACCCTCCTCCTCCGTTCATCTGGGGAGCCCCAGCCCCCCAGTGCCCCTGGCAGCTCACAGGGGTGACAGGGAGGATGGCAGGGTCCCCACCCCAGCCCTGGCAGCACCCACATGCTGGGACCAGCGGCGCAGGTGGCACTGAGAGAGGGGTGGGCACTGATCCCCAAAGTGTGGGGCTCCATTCCTCCTGCACCCCTTGGCTGAAGCGCTGCTCTCCTGTCTCTGAGGCAGCCAGGCTGGAGCTCAGCCAGGAGGGCTCCTGTCAAATCCCAAATCCAGCCCCTCCTGTCTGAGCCCTGTGGGTCCCAGGACGTGTCTCTGCTTCCCAAACTGGCCGTGGCTCCCGAAGCTTGGCCAGCAGGATGTGCTGGGCTCTGTGTCACCCACATCCCTGTCCCCACGAGAGGAGCCCACCCCAGCACAGCTGGAGCTGTTCCCTTTCCTGCTCCCAGAGGCCCCAGAAAAGCTTGGGGTGGTTTGGCTCAGCATTGCTGCCCTTTCAAGGGGAGAGGGGCCCAAAAACCCCCTCCCCAAACTGGGCACGGCTGCTTTTGTCCTGTGCCAAAGGGAGAAGGGGCGGGCAGGCAGCGCTGGGCACAGGCAGCCCCTGTACCTTGCCAGAGGAGCATTTTGGCTTTTCTGGCCTTTTTTTGGGTGGGGGTTTTGCAAAGCTCTGCCTTTGCCCCAGCTCCCTGTGCTTAATGGGGGCTGCAGGTGTCCCTGAGGGAATTAACACGCCTGGCTTGGTGCTTCCAGGGACTCCCAGGGATGGTTTGGGGGGCAGCAGAGGGATGTTCCTGCCTGCAGAGGGACCAGGCACAAGGGCTGGCTCTGCCACCAGCAGCTCGGTGACAGTGACCCTGGCAAGTCCCCCCCACAGCCCTGCAGGGGCCACAGCGAGTTCCAGCAGGGTGTGGGGGGCTCAGGAGAGGGGCCACACACAGGGGCGTCCCCTTGGAGCTGAGCCCTGCCAGCCACTCTGTGCTAACAGCAGTGCCCAGAATCTTTGTCTGGTTTGCCCTCACCCCTCCTGGCACTGCTCTCCTCCCTGCCCTGGGACAGGGGCTCTGTGCCACAGGGAGGACAGACGGACAGACAGACAGACAGACAGACAGACAGACAGAGAGTTCTCCCAACAGCCCATGGCAGAGACCACCCCAAGGTCACACAGGCTGCAAAAGGGCAAAATCCCATCACTTGCTATTTTGTCCGCAGAGCGCCCGAGGGCTGGTCCTGCTCTCCGTGTGATGGATGAGAACCTTTGGCAGCCCCGAGTCCCCAAGGGAGCGGCCAAGGGCCAGCAGGGCCCTCCCTCCGCCCCCTCCTTCCCCGCGGTCACAAGGTTTCAGTCAGCAAAAGGAAAATTTTATCCCATCTACTCCAGCTTTATTATTGTTATAAATAATAATAATAAATCACAGCGGCAGGAAGTGGTTTTAGGGAGCAGGAAGGGATGTGGAGGATGGTGAAACACCTCTCACTTCCCCCCAGGGATGTGAGGTGTGAGAGGAGCCAGCTGTGTCAGGGGAAATAAAATCCCTGGGGATTTCATGGGGGGCTGGAGGGGCTTTCCCACCACAGCCCCTGCTATGGATATCCCCTCTCCTCAAGCCCCTGTTATGGATATCACCTCTCCTCACCTGGCCTTTTGCACCCACTACCTCTGTGGGTCCCTTTTGGACATATTTTATGCCTAATACTTGGCTTTCCATGTTCTTTTGGAGGGCATTGGCTGCCCTCCCTTCGGAGGCATTTATGGGAGGAGAAGCCCCTGCTGCCACCAGCTCCCAGGGGTGTCTTCTGCTCCAGCTCCCAGTGTCTGTGCCACACCCAGGGTGACCTCCCCAGTGCCTTTGGGGACCCCAAAGGAAGGGGTGAGAGAGAGCTGCATGAAAACTTGGCCTTTTTGGTGATTTCTACCCCCCCCCCGCCTTGCTGGTGAAGTCATGACTGGAGGAGCTGGCACTCAGCCCGTGAGCACAGCCTGATGGCAATTCCAGCTCCCCACCCAGCCCTCGCTGGGGCCGAGGGACAGGTCAGCTCAGCCCAGATCCAATGGAAAACTGGCTTTGCTCAATTATTTTCTTTTTTTTTTTTTAATTTTTAATTTTCTGTTGTGTTTCAGTTTCAAACAAACACAAAACAAAACTGCTGTAAACGAGGGCTCTACCAGTTGGTCACATGAGACCAGCACTAATTGTGGTATTTGGATGCTCCAGCGCTGCCTGGAGCTGGGGACAATCCCCAGAGGGGGAACAAAGGGGTCTCCAGCGCTGTGTGACCTGTTCTGCAGCACCGAGAGCTCCCAGCCCTGCTGCCTGTGGGGTTTGAAGGTTCCCTGGTCCTGCCCATGGTTGCACCTGGAACAAGGACAGGGAGGGGAGGGAGAGGCGCTGAGCTAATCCCAGCGGTGGAGAAAGGAGAGGGAGAAGGGGAGAAGCAGCAGCAGGAGGGCACCAGAGTGGAGGAAGAAGGATGGTGAAGGATGCTCAGAGCAGCCCAGGCACTATCTGGAACTGGCTGGGCACCTCAGAGTTTGCTGGTGAACCCCCTGCCCTGAGGGGGGCACAGCCACTCGCCCCCCACACCAGCACCCGGCACAGAGGCTGTGACCCCCGGCCCACGGCAGGCAGAGCCCCCCGGTGCCCACCAGGGCTGCAGGGAAAGACTTCCCCCATCCCGGAGCTGCTCTCCCAGGCCAGGTGGCCCTTCCCGGGAGCAGTGCCACGATCCCCACGATGTCACTCGTCCCGGAGGCTCTGTCTTGCCCCCCTCCTTGTGTCCCTTTTGTCAGGACTGTGATTCCAGCTGTTTCTGTGTCCCCGCCTGAGCTCGGGAATTCCCGCAGCTCCCCACGCCAAACCGAGCACGTTCCTGCTCCCGCCTGTCCCCGGCAATTAGCGCGGCTGACCGGGTTTCCTTCATCACTGCTAATTGGCCCGGTCGGTGTTGGAGGCTTCCCCTTCCCGGCTCTCGCCGTGCCCTGCGGTAATTTCAGCGGAAAAGAAGAGAGAAGAGAGAAGAGAGAAGAGAGAAGAGAGAAGAGAGAAGAGAGAAGAGAGAAGAGAGAAGAGAGAAGAGAGAAGAGAGAAGAGAGAAGAGAGAAGAGAGGAGAGGAGAGGAGAGGAGAGGAGAGGAGAGGAGAGGAGAGGAGAGGAGAGGAGAGGAGAGGAGAGGAGAGGAGAGGAGAGGAGAGGAGAGGAGAGGAGAGGAGAGGAGAGGAGAGGAGAGGAGAGGAGAGGAGGATAAAGTATGGAGGCCACAGAGCTGCAGCTGGACAAAGACACTGGCTGGGGACAGATGGGCATACAGGGATGGGGACAGTGCCCTGCACACCTGGAGCCTCCTGTGCTCTGCTAACAAGGGGGTACAGCCCCAACCCCCAGTCCCAGGCTCTGTCTGTTTGTCTCTCTCCTGGGACTGCTCTGCCCCCGCATCCTCCACCCTCCCCCTCACACATCTGGCCAGCAGCAGCTTATTTTTTCCTCCAGGGTTGCAACATCCTGAGCCACGGGATGTTTTTCCTGAGCCTGTGTTGAAACCCCCCAGAGGGGGAGGGTGGGAGGATTGTCTTGGCCAGGGAGCTCCGGTCACTGTGTCCTCCAAGCCATTGCCCCCAAGTGCAGAGAGGGGAGACCACAGAAAGCAAATCAGACAGGGCTGGAGAAGGAAGAGTGAATTCCTGCTGGTGATGGAATCCCAGCTATGTGGTTCTCCAGATCCTCCAGGACTGGGCAACGGTGAGCACATCCCTGCCAGCGACAGAGAGGGGCAGCTGGATGCTCTTGGGGCTGTAGCTACACCCCATCATCTCCTGAGTCATGATCCACAGCCAGGTCACCTCCACTCAAAGCCCTGGGTGACCAGAGGATGGGGGTGCCACCAGAGCAGGCCTGGGGGCAGAAGACTGGGGGTGCCCCTAGAGCAGCCCCACTGCTGGAGCCAGGCAGGGGTTGAACCACCCCCTGTCATCAGCACCGGGATGGCCAGACCCCACCTGTGCCTCCCTTTTCCCACCAGAATAAATACCATTCATTCAGAAGAAACCATTTTATTATTTTTTTTTCCCAAAGAAAAAAAGCAATATAAATATTAGAGTATAAAACTTGCGTGTAACACATCGACATTGGTCTATATGGGTATAAGAAGGATATAAGCATATATATAATATATAAGTATAATTCAATATTAGACACATTGAAAGGGAAAACGTGTTTCATTTCACGCACACTCGGAGCACAGACCACGTGGAAAGAAGATACAGAGAAAATTGAAAATACTGATGTCCACAAGTTAGTTACTGCAATTAAAAATAACACGCCACTAAATACACGACACTCACTACGCTACCTCAGATTGCAGATTAAAAAGAAAATATAAAGACTACGATTCAGCTACAGCATTTCTAGAGGGGGGGCAGGTGGCAGCTGCAGGGGACAGGGTGGGAACCGCTCCCAGAGCAGCCAGCGCCAGAGGTGGCTGGATCTGGATGAAACACGGAGGATGCTCCTGCTGCCCTGGTTTGGGGAGGGGACAGCGGTGGGGAAAGCCTGGCTGAAAGGGCTGGATCTGCTCGGGTGAGTTATGTGTTAGTGATTAAAAAAGGAAAAAAACAACACACACCCCCCGTGGAAACTCGGTGTGGCCCCCTCCGGGCCACCCCACAGCTCCTCTCCTGGCTCTGGCTACACAAAGCTCCCATCTGCCTCTCCCGGGGGCTCAGAGCTGCTTTGCTATGGGAAGCTGGCCTGGTGCTTTGGTGATGGGCACATGGAGAAACTCTAATCCTCATCCTTCAATTCTGCCCGCAGGGTACAAAGCCCAAAGCCAGCGGGAGCATCACCTCCTCCTCCAGGCTGGCCCCGCATGGTCCCAGTGTGACACTCCCCCAGTCACTGCCCCCCACTTTGCAGCGTCACCCCCTGCTCTTGGGTCCCTCATCTGGATCTGGTCCCCAAACGCCACCAAAACAACCATCACTTACTCAGCCACCAACTCTGCACCAAAGCCATGCACCGGCAGCTCCGCGGATCCCGTCCTTGGGGCGAGACCGCCAAGAACCGCCCGACCACCCCAAACAACCTTTGGGGCCCGAACAAGAAGCAATAATGAGTTTCCCCACCCCACCTGAGCCATCCCACCCCCTCCCTCCCCTTCCCCAGGGCAGCCCGGGCGGCTGCCGGCGCGTTCACACCACGTGGGCATGCGAGGACTTGTGCGGGTCCGTGGAGCTACTGCGCTAGTGCAGGTGTGAGGTGAGGGACGTGCATGCAGACACCTGTGCAGACAGTGAAGCGCCGTCCCCGTGTCCCCTGCGCGGGGACCTGGCCAGGCCTGGCCGCGGGGGAGCGAGGCTCTCTTAGCCTTAATTCCATAAGAACATCGACTGTACATATAAATATTTACTGCAAAGAAGGTTTGAGATGTGTCTGCTCTTCGGAGACCCCTAGAACCGCCGGGGCAGCTGCCGCACACCTCGGCATGCTCCTCGTGGAATTCCCTGCCTCTCACACAGCAGGAGGGCTTTTTCCTTATCATATTTCAGGCCATTAGTGGTTACACATTAAAAAGAAAAAAAAAAAAAAAAGAAAAAATGCTTAGGATGCAGCTTTGCCATATTCCCTTTGACTCATGCAATATAAACACTTTTTGTTTTTCAGATGACAGGTAAGCAGGAACTGAAGCACTCCCAACAAACTTCCAAAATCCAAATTCCATTGCTATCATTGACTGGGGATGAATTTTACTAATGGAAAATTTAACAGCAAAGAACAGCATGGGCTCTAAGCTAAGAACTTCCTTTTCCTTTCCAAAAAATAGCTGAAGGGCTGTAAATTAAAAGATCCACATTAAAATTATTTACACTGGGCAAAGCCGAGCACAAGCCTTGTGCCTTTCTTGGACTACCTGGAAGCAAACTGGATCCAAAGACGTGGCAAAAGACCTTCGGCCCTTGCATATTCTAATACCCGAGGGATTGTATAAAACATTATTCACAGGGCACTTGTTTGCATTCGGTTTAGACTCCGGATTGGTTTTCATCATGAGACCTGAGAGCAGCGAGCCCCTGCTCTCAGCTCTGATGATGACGAGATACATTCGCAGCATTTCCTACTTTTGCACCACAAAAAAATTCACATTCGTCCTCCGGCCTGGGCTGTGGTTTTGGGGGAGTGCTGGAGCCGGCTGCCCTGTAGCTCTAAGGTCTCCTTTTTCTTCTTCACTACTTCTTCTCCTTCTTCCCGGATTTCTTTTTGTTGCCTGCGGCGGGGGCGGCGTTCTTGGCATCGCGCTTGCCGGCGTTGGTGAGGGTGGCGTTGCTGCCAGGGATGTAGACGTTCTGCCGGTAGTCGGGGACGTGCTGCAGGGTGAACTGCGGGCCGTAGCGGGCACTCAGCCCCATCGTGCCATTGCCGCCGCCCAGGGTCGAGTTTCCATCAGCAGCTTCTGTGGGGAACGCCGGGGAAGGGGGGAAAGAGCAGGGCGGGATGTTAAAGGCAGCTGGAGACCCCTACCCCAAGCCCCAGCAGCCCCAAAGCCAAACCAGCATCACCCTTCAGCTCCCCACAGGGCAGCCTGGCACAGAACCCCACCCCCCCAAAAACTGCCCATTACAGACATATTGTCCAGTCACACCATTAGCGATGCATTAAAGGAAATCCAATATTTATTTGTTTTTCCGCCACATTTAAAACCCTGCCCGCAGTATTTTTCTCCAGCCAGGTTTATTCAGGGAGCAGGGCAGGGGAGAAGAGAAACAAAACCCCTCCCTTGCAATACCACAAAATGGCTCTAGGAAGCCGAGCACGAAGGAAATCAATGCCAGAGCGTGTCTGATGGTCCAGATCTGGGAGCAGGGGGAGGGGAAGGCAAATCCATTCCTGTCGCTATGCAGAGCTCCAGCACGGAGCGAAGAGTGGGAGGGGCACAGGGTCCCCCCGGGATGCTGGGGCCCTGCTGGATGCTGGAGAGCAGATGGAGATGGGGGGATGCACAGAGGCAGGGGGAGAATGAGCACGGGGGGACGGCAGGGCTCGGGTGATGCTGTTGCCATGAGCTGCTGCACGATCTGCTCCAGTGCAGCTGCCTGTGCTCGGCTCAGGGTGGGATCCCTGCACAGCCCTGCTCGGAAATGGTTTGCTGAAATTCAGCCTTTGTAGGAGAGACTGTGGCTCCCATCTCAGCCTTTAACTGCCTCCCGCTCATGTCTGGCGCCAGGCCCTCCTCAAGGATAGAGACACCCAGAGGGCCCAAGGCAGAGCCCAGGGGAGCTGCTCCCTCCTTTCAGAGGCAGAGAGATTGTGGGAACAATGAAAAACAACGAGCAGAGGTGGTGGGCTGGGTCCCCTCGCGTTTCTCCTCACTCCAGACCAGCTCTGTGCACGCCTCTGTGCTGCCTTTGCTTTCCCCTAAGCAGATGGAGGTGGCTAAGCCAGCCAAAAAGCTGGACAAAAAGCTGGACCACATCCCACCATCCCCCTGAAATACGTCTGTGTACACATTCCCTTTGCAGGGGTCGGAAGGATGAGGCAACTGCAGTTTGAAGAGCTGCAGCTGCTCTGTTGGAGCGGGCAGGGAGGAAAACACAGCGAGGCTGAAAACAGGCGTGATACTGTGCAGCGGGGCAGCGCCATGGGGTGCAAACACAGCGACCCAGAGCGGGGAAATGCCTTTCACTCCCTGCTCTGGAAGCATTCCCCGCAGGAGAATTCTTCCAGAGTCCCCATGACATGGGTTCCGGACCTAGCAGGACTGGTGCTGGGGAGATGTGTCTGTAATTAGTGATATTTATTGCTAATCCTCACCCGCCTGAACAGCAGCTCATTTCATTAGCAACCAACTCAAGCCCACACCCATGGAGGTGTTAGAAATGATCCCCATGGGATGGGATAACTGGAGATGTGCAGGGACCATCTCACAGGTGGACTTCTGTGGAAGAGTTCTGTGAGCCAGAGAGACGTTTGATAAGAGGATCCATGTTTGATAAGAGGATCCATGTTTACCCCTAAAAGAACTTCCTACCAAGGTCGTTGACACAGAAACCAAGAGAGAAAGAAGGAGAAATAAGAGAAACCTGCAGCTGCCTGTTCCAATGAGCACTTTGCTTGTGTCTCGTGACCAATGAGTAAAGTGCAAACTTAGGAGTTTTGTAGGAATGTATAAAAAGCATTCAGACTAGAATAAAAAAGGTTTTGAAGCCTTCTGAAAATGGAGTGTGTGGCTTTGTATTGTCTCCATCTCAACTGAAATGTACCACTTTAAGCTTACTAAATATGTTCTTTAGTCTAGTAACTGCAGCACTAGCAAAAGTACCCCAGCTAAAGAGAAAGAATACAAATTTCTACACTAAAAAATAAGAGATAAGAAAGACTCCTCAAGCCTTAAAACTGACAGGGCAGAGTGACCCAGGAGTTCTTTCTGTACTTTCTGACAAAAACTGAGTACAAGTGTAACTAGCTGTAAGTGTAACGCGAAATCAGCAGAATGAATATGCATTAACCTATTGTGAAATTCTATGCATATAGAAATTAGTAAGGGTAATAAAAAAAGATCGAGAGTTCTCAGAAGTGCACATGTCCATTGAAGGGCAATAAGTCCCCAGATGCACCCAGCACTGTGAATAAACATACCCATTCCCTACAAATCTTTGTTAAAATTGTGAAGTTTAATTTTTCATCCGTGTTTCATTATGACAGACTACAGCCTCCAGCCATGGGAGAATTGATTTTTCTGGGCTGTCCCAGCTGGAGTCAGCCCAGTGAGAGGCTGGGTGGACTTGGGCACCTTCTCTTCCCTGGGTATTGCTGCCTGTGTCCCTCCAGAGCCATCCCAGGGTGTGGCAAGCACATTTCTCTCCCTCTTAGGATTTTTATAGAGGTGCACAGAGAGAAATGAAAGATAAAACAATTTCTATTTCTGCTCCTTGTTTTTGCTATGTAGAATGTGTTCAGAAAGTCGTTTACCTGGAGTGAGTGCTTGATTAAATTCTAGTGAGGATTGTTTGAGCCTGATGGCCAATCCAACCCACCTGTGGCTAAACTCTCGTGAGAAAGTCACAAGTTGTGTTAAAGATAGAATCAGAGAAAGTAGTATATAGTTTTAGTATCCTACTTTTATATAGTATATTAATGTATTTTAACATAGTTATAATAAAGAAATAATTCAGCCTTCTACACTGAGTCTGACATCATCATTTCTTCCCATTAGGTTCGCCTGCATTTACAATACCAGGGCTCTAAGCAGTGAAGGGCTGGGGGTGCCAGCACCACCCAAGTCCCCATGAATTAATTTTGAGTCTCAGCACAGCTTCCAGCGAGGAGAAAAAGGCAGTGGTGAAGTTCCCAGCCTGCCATCGGCCCTGGGGAAGGGCGACCAGCTGTTTCTAGGTTACACTGACATTAAGGCTGAACAGAAGAGAGAACAGGAACAATAGAGGGTTATAAATGGGCACCGAGGTGCTCTTGCCAAGCAAAGCACTTGAGCTCTCCTTGCTGGAAAGGTCATACTCAGCCTCTACCAGCAGCCTGTCATTATCCCAAAGGGCCCTGAGGAGGAGAACAAGAATTTGGGCTCTGGCAAAAATAACCAGCGAGTGGCTCCGTGGCAGAGGGGAGGCCGGGGGCAGCCCCAGAGCAGGTGGGGCTGCAGCTGCTGGTGGGGCTTTTGGGGGACCCAATATAGCGTGTCTGCCCCTGCCCGGGGGACAGGGACCTCCCTGGGCTGCCTTTCTGTCTGCTCCCCCTCCATCCCGTGGCACCTCGCTAAATTCTCACTGGAGCCAGAGTATTTTAGGGACAGGATGTCTGTCCTTGAGAGTCTGGTGTCTTGGAGCATCTGTGCTCCTTGGGCTGTCCCAGCAGCTGCCTCTGCCCATTCAGATGGCTCAAAAAACTGGTTTTTCATACTGCTCCCACCGTAAGGCAGGAAGATGCAGAGGAAGGATGGCTGGAAAGGGAGAGAGAACCTTACAGCAAGGTCACATCCCTTTCCCCTGAGGGGAAAATCAGGTCCCCAGTACTCTGCCTTGTGATGGTAATTTAACCACTGGGGAAGGGATTTAATCCTCAAAGGACTGGATGGTGCAGGCTTGGCCTGGCACTGCCAGCGCTGCCTCCTGCTGAAGCCAAGGAAAACCCTGGCCCAAGTTAAGGACGCATCCAAGGCACCACCGTGAGCCAGGTGCCAGCTCGGAGCTCAAACAGAGCTCGGTGGGTGACACTGAAAGATACTGATTATTTAGATGGCCAGGAAATCACACCCAGGGATGGGTAGCACAAAGCTTAATGGGCAATTAGCGCTGCCCTAATCAAAGCCTGCTCCAATCAACATTATTGGCTTAAAGAGAGAGCAGAAACGGAGGACAGAGCAAGAGCAACAAAAACACTGTGCTGGAGGAAAAACTGCTGCTGGGTCCCCATCCACACATCCAGACTGAGAGAGAGGAACAGGATGGATAAGGGGAAGCCGTTATCTGCAGGAGGGATTTGATTTCCATCAGCCCCTGGGCGGGCTGGAGCCCGGGCCAGGTTGGGACTGTGGATTGGGGACTTTCGCTCAGTAGGGCCCGGGGCTCCATGAAAGTCGCTGCTTAACCTGGAGGGGACCCGCTTAGCTCTGATCCTGGGGATTGCTGGAGCAGCAGCCAGAAAAACAGCTTTATTTACCAGCAAGGAAACCGGATCTGGAGACACTGGGTGATGATAACCACATGCAACCCCAAGGGCTGTTTTTCCACGGCCGTTTTTCGGAGCAAAGACACATTTTCACATTGTTTCTCTCTCTTGAGTGTAAACAGCTCCCTTGCCGCAGACCTTGTCCCCCTCCCCAGCCACGGCAGCTGTCTCCTGGTGTCTGCAGAGCAGCAAGTTCAGCTGCAGCAGCTTTCCAAGAAAGCAACAGCAAAGCCATTCCTCCTCCCTCAGATTCCTTCCCTCCCAACAGCTCAAAGGAAGCATCCTAAGCATTTAAGCACAGTTTTATGGCTGTGCTTCTATTTTTAAAACAAGGGGGGAAAGACTTGGAGGTATTTATAAATAAAGGCTCTATGAAAACCAGGCTCTTTATCCATAGTGCTGCACAGAGTGATAATTGTCCTTGTTGTATACTAAGCCATGGAGACCGTGGGTGCATGAGAACATCCCTCCCTGCCCAAGGCTTCTGCACAGCCATAAACCAGAACAAAGCAACCCAAAATGACCCCGAACCATCCTCCTGATAAAAGAACTGCAAGGAGGCAGCAGCAGCCAGTGGGGGAAACCTTGGTGGGTCCATGGCTCAGCAGAGGGGCTTGGGGAGCTTCTCTGCACACAAGGTTTGTTGGGAATACTGAGTCAGGCATTTGGTGGTTCCCTGGTTCAGCCTCTAGCCACACACAAACTTCCAGCCTTCCTTCCTCCTCACCTTACAGCAAGTGTAATTTACTGTGACTTTCTGGAACCAAGTAGTTCATAAAACATCATCTCCAGACTGGCTCTTTCATGTAACACAACCACAGCACTGCCAGATGGTGTAACAACACCATTTAGTACAAAGCAAACAGAGTTTGAGTGGAAGAAGTGTCCCTGTGTACAGGAACCAGGTGTCTTCTCTGCCTGGATCCTTCCTGACCCGTTCCTCTGCAGGGACACCAGTGTTTTTCCCCCTGGATCCTTCCTGACCCCTCTCTCTGCAGGGACACCAGTGCTCTTCCCTCTGGATCCTTCCTGACCCCTCTCTCTGCAGGGACATCAGTGTTTTTCCCCCTGGGTCCTTCCTGACTCTTCCCTCTGTAGGGACATCAGTGCTTTTCCCCCTGGATCCTTCCTGACCCATTCCTCTGCAGGGACATCAGTGCTCTTCCCTCTGGATCCTTCCTGACCCTTCCCTCTGCAGGGACATCAGTGCTTTTCCCCCTGGATCATTCCTGACTCTTCCCTCTGCAGGGAGATCAGTGCTTTTCCACCAGCTTTGGGATCAGTCGAAGCAGAACCTTTGCAGCCAGCCCAGCTCACCCAGATAAATCTCTTATTTCTCAGCACGACCCCGAGATGGCCCCCCCAGAGCAGGAGTCAGGGTTTTCCCATGAGTGATGGACACCAACCATTGGCTGAAGCCAGGATCATGGCTTGGAGCATCTCCGTGTCAAACTGGTTGTTGGGCCAGGCTCCAGCTTCCTCTCCATTCTGGGAGCTGTGGGAAAAGAAAACAAACAGCAAGTTACTCCAGTTCAGTAGGAGGAGTGGGCTGGACCAGTGCCTGCTTTAAATCCTCCCATAAGTGGCACTCAGGAGCCAAGACCCTTTCAGAGGTGTCCACCCCTCACCAGGCTCTTGAAGAATAACCACCAAAAGCACCTGGGGACTCAATGGTGCTTCCAGCAACACCTTCCTAACTCCTGCTGCCTTCAGAGGCTACAGCCAAGCACCTCATCTCCTCAAAACCCCACCAAAAAGCAATCACAGAATGGTTTGGGTCAGAAGAGAACTTTAAGATCATCTATCTGCAACCCCTTGCCATGGGATATAATGTAATCCATTGCCAAAATTCAGTGTAATATCATAAAAACTGCAGTCCTAAAGTCCCAGGGGTGCATATGCACCCTTGTAGGACCAGGTCCTCTGTCCTATTGCAGGCTCTGAGTGGATGCACCTTTCAAGCTCTTTCAGGTTACAACTCCATTCTGCAGCTTCATTCATGTGCTGAAAACCCCATGCTGTGGTGGGAATTTGGGTCATCATGGAGCAGCTGCCTGGCACCACAGAATTTGCTCTGAAAAGAGTCCAAGATCAGTCCTGGGGAGGCTGGAGCAGCAGGGAAAGGAGTGCAGGCAGCATCTGGGCATCTCCCTTGGTTCCCTTTGGCTGCTGGGGGTGCTGAGCATCACAGATCCGCCTGGGAGAACTCGGGGGATGCTGACAGACTTTGGCTGAGGAGGTTTTGTGGCCAGGCCTACAATCAGCACTCTGTGTGCAGGCTAACAAGCCCGGCTTTCATGTCTGGCAGGTGTCAGCTGTGCTCAGGCACCGCTCACTGCTCAGGGCTGTGCTCCCAGAGGCCCTCCAGAGCCTTCACACTTCCTAAACATCTCACCAGCTTCCTGGGGTCCCTCTGCTCTGTCCCAAAATGACCCCACCACTCAGATCACCACTGTCTCCTCTCCTAGTCACTGCTCTGACCATGCACAGCCCTTTCCATCACTGGAATGCCAGGATTTACCCCCTGGCTCCCTTGGGATGAGGTGCCCTGCTCTTGCAGCTGGGAGCTCTCCTGAAGTGAGACAGGGGAGGATGAGGGGTTGGAAAGCCCTTCCCATGAAGAGGCCTTACCCCTTTCCCCAGCAAAGTGTTCAAACCACAAAGCCACAAGGCATGGAGGTGGCCTCCTCCCCCACTGTGGTCCCAGCCCTTATACCCAGGAGCAGCCAGACCCCAAAAGCTGTTCAGACCCCAACACCCTCCTCAGAACCCAATACCCTGCTCAGACCCCAACACCCTGCTCAGACCCCAAATGCCCGTTCAGACCCCAACACCCTGCTCAGACCCCAAATGCCCGTTCAGACCCCAACACCCTGCTCAGACCCCAAATGCCCGTTCAGACCCCAACACCCTGCTCAGACCCCAAATGCCCGTTCAGACCCCAACACCCTGCTCAGACCCCAACACCCTGCTCAGATCCCAAATGCCTGCTCAGACCCCAACACCCTGCTCAGACCCCAACACCCTGCTCAGATCCTGAAGCCCTGCTGAGATCTCAGCATCCTGCTCAGACCCCAGATTCCTGCCCAGCCCCTGAATTCCTGCCCAGCCCCTGAATTCCTGCCCAGCCATGCTCTGGGGTGTCCCGCTGGCAGCCCCATGCCTGAGCACCCAGCACCCTGCACCCTGCACGCCAGCGTGGGCACGGCCGGTGCCAGCTCAGTGCCACGTGCTGGGCACCAGATGGGCTCCTCATGCCCTGCTGAGCATCCCTGCCTGAGTGCCCCCTCCACCTGCGCCCTCACACACAGATCAGGCTCAACATGGGCATTTTGGAATTGGGATGGACCCACAGGCGCTGTTCTTGAAGGCTGTACCTGCCACAGTGACCTCGTAGCTGCATCAAAGCAGAAAGGAGAGAAACCTTGAGTGCACATGAGCTTTCAGCATCCCTGTGAAATCCTTCCCCATGCACAGAGTGCCCAGAGCAGCTGTGGCTGCCCCTGGATCCCTGGCAGTGCCCAAGGCCAGGCTGGACAGGGCTTGGAGCAGCCTGGGACAGTGGGAGGTGTCCGTGCCATGGCAAGGATGGAATGGGATGGTCTGTGAGGTCCTTTCCAACCCAAACCATTCTGAATTCTGAATATATGTTCAAGCTGCCTTTGAAATACAAGAAGGATGTTGTAAGGACGCTCTGCAGACACTCTCAGGTGCTCCGCACAAAATCTGGTCTTAAGCAACTTGTCCAAAGATGTGCAGGACCCAAACCAGGAGCACAGAGCCATCCCTCCCCTTCTGTGTGCCGTGCCTGATCCATCCCCAGCCGGGCACAGGGGCAGCTCTCACACCAGTTAATCTTTAGAGGATGTAAATAACCACTAATGGAGCAGATGCTGCCGGCAGCATCCTGAAATCCCTGCTGCCTGCGCATCCCGGGGCAGCCCGGCCACTATTTACAGCCCTCCTGCACGCCCTGGGTGCTGGCACGGTTTTCAAAAGGGCAGAAGTGAGCCGTGCTCCCCTCCCAGACTGATTCCTCCGTGATGGTTGTGCCAAGTCTCCTTTGCCCCGCGCTCCGTGCCGCGCCAGGATAAGGTGGGGACAGCCCTGGGGCTGCAGTGACCTGTTAATGTCACAAACAGGGCTGGGAATAGAGCCCCGGGCCAGATCCAATAAAGGACTTAGGAACCTAAACTCCATTGCAAACCACAGCCCATTCAGCCACCGTTAACCCAGCAGCTCCTGCCCCACCCCCAGCTGGAGGATGGAGCTCCCAGGTTTTTCAGGGCTTCAGGAAAGCTGCTCAGAAACATCCCTGAGCCTCCCAGCCGCTGATCCTGCCTCTGGGAGCTGCCCTGACATGATGGTGGTACCCAGAGATGGGGGGAGAGACAGCACAAGAAATCATCAAATACATTTTGGTTTTTGTTTTTTTTTTTAAGTGTAGTATTCCAGTGGTTTGAACTCTGCTGTGAAACCAGAGGCTCAGGTTTAACTCCCTCTCTGATGTGACAGTGCCAGTATCACATTTTCCACCTCCCGAAAAACTCTTCCCTCCTGTTCCACCCCTCCTTCAGGCAACTCCTTCAGGCTTCCCTGTACAGCCATTCCTCCTGTCTGCTGTCAAAGCCTCCATGTCCTACAGCAGTGGGAATGCACAGAAGGAAGGGCTCAGCCTGTGGTCAGGGAATTCAGCTGCACCAGAACTCCTGACCCCACTGAGCTCCCCACCCCATAGCCCCAGGGCTGCACGAGGCACAGGCAGGAGAGCTGGCACCACTGGCACCAGACTTGGCCAGGAATGGTTGGAAAGGGAGGGATGAGGGGTCTGGGCAGTCCCTGCAGCCTGGAGGGGTCTGAGTGGCACAGCCCAACCCTCCCAAGGGGGGTGGCTGTACCAAGAAATGTGGAGCTTGCTCAGTCTGTTCTGAGCTCTTGGTTTAGAGCTGTGTGTGCCAGGGAAGGAGGGCTGTGCATCACCAGCCAGCTCAGGATGGGCAGCACTTCTGACCCTTTTCCTTCCTTGTGGTCTTAGTGAGGGATGAGAGCATGAGCCTCAGCACCCCTCCACTTTGGGGGACACCCAAAGCCCTACCTCCCCTTAATTCCCTGTGAGATCACAAAATCAGACTGGAAGAGGGGCACGAATCATCAACTCCTACAATGGTTTGGGTTGGAAGGGCCTTAAGGAAGCTGCAGTGCTCCTAGGTGCCACACTTCAAGCAGAAGGAGCTCTCCCAGCCTCTCCCACCCTGCCCTGGGCTCCAGTGCTCAGATCATTTTGGTGCTATGGTCCTGCTTCTATTGCAGTGAGGAGCCCAAAAGTGGGCACAGTGCTCCAGGAGTGGATCTGTGGGTGCCACAGGGGAATTGAGGGCAACTTCTTGTCCTGCTGGCTACAAGCTGACCAGTAAAACCAGTCAGCCTCCATCACAGCAAGGGTGCACTGGTGATTCCTGTTCAACCTGACACCCCCTATGTCCTTTTCTTCACCCTTCCTGCAGCCAGTGTTCCTGAATTTTGCACAAAGAGCCCCAAAGCTGTGTGCCTGCTCCTCATGACGCCACGTAGAAAAGCTATTTTAGAAATGCCTTAGCATTGCAAAAAAAAAAAAAAAAAAGGTATTGAACTCACTTCTCTAAGCAGGAAATTCAAGTGTCTCAATTATTTGCAGTGCAATCATCCAGAATTCAGAGGCACAGAAAAAAAACCCAAGGGCTGTAATCTAAAAACATCCAAAAATAACTTCTCGCAGTGGAGAATGCACACAGCTGATGGCCAGACCTGGCTGCCTTCCAGGGCTATAGGATGGGCTGTGAGTCACTGACTCAACAAGGAGCCCTCCCTGCCCTGCTGCCCCTGCCCGCGGTGGGCACACCCCAGAGCCCCCCTGCCACTGCCACCCACCCCTCCACAGCTTTGGGTGCTGCTGCAGGGAGCCTGCCCAGAATGGGAGGGCTGGATCCTATGGAAATACTCCAAGGACTGGCTGGTTTTAATACAAATGCTGTTGATTCAAGAGGGTGTTTTTCTAAAAACCCATCCCCCACAGGACAGATTTTTTATTTTTTTACTCTGTTCAGTTCTACTCCACACTTCAAAGCTCAGAAAAGAGCTGGCTTTCATTTTCAGGAATGCTCCCAGCGTAGCTAGAACTGAGAGAAGGAATCAAAGCCACATTTGAGACAAACCCGGGGGTGCAGCATCTGAGGGGCTCAGGGCGTGGTGGACACGGAGCACAGGAGAGGCAGGTACAGCCTCTGCACGACCTGGAGCTGCCTTGAATAAACCTGGCTACATGGAAATCATGGAATAACCAGACAGAATGCTTTTCCTGGCAGCTCTGCACAGCTCCACTGCATCCATCTGCATTCCAACACTGCCCCACTACCCAAAGCTTCCACAAGCACCCACACCAGGGGGGCACTTGGGTGCTTTGCTCATCAGCTAATTCGCAGCACCCTCAGCCATCAGGTCCCTTTTTATCTTCCACTT